TTATGAACAATGGTTATTAACGTAACACCTGATACCCCCTCTAAAATTTTTGTTTCGCATTTTAAGGTAAGAAATCGACATTTGAAACCGACAGGGTGTCGATTTACTAGGTGCCGTGTTTCACAACTTGTTTATTTATATACGTATAGCGGATGATTTTTTTTTTGAAAATTAGTAATTATTGATTTTCAGCCCCCAAGTGACTGTGGTGTAGACCACGGTAACCATGCATAAACCAATTCAATTCCAACAGAACGTACATCGACATCTACAATTCACTTCCGCATTGCGTTAATACCAGAACACCTGACTTATCTGGTCAAAGTACGATGTTGCAGGTCAATTCGCGCGAGAAAACATAATGACAGAAATTGCTTTGCATCGTGAGTTTGCGTACAATTGAAAACATTCATCAAGATAATGACGATTCTCTTTTCCCAAAACCGTAAATCCTGATGGTATGTAAATAATATTGTAATAAAACGTGCGTATTTTTTGTGATCATTTCTGTTTCGTCATTGTAACAGTGTTGTGGAAATCAATGGCGATGCAATTTATTTCGCAATTTAAATTCCACTAAAAAGACGTACCATTCTCCCTAAATCTAGCACATTGCGAACGAAAATTGTCTTTCAGCCATTTTTTCGAATGGTGTGCTCGACCGAGCGCCCACGGCCTAAACACACGATTTTGTGAGCTTTATACAAAACTTGAATAGTGTTCTGCTTCAACAACTAAATGATATTATGTCAGGATTTGTCAAACCAGATCTTCTTTCTGACAATGATTGTAATACTGTAGATTTTGAATGTCCATACAACCATAAGAGAAATAAGTCTTTGTACATTGTATTTATTACCCGGCATCCTGATTTGAAAACAGAGAATTTCCACAAGAATGTGAGAGCTGGCTATGTGACTTCTTCGATACATTCCAATCACCTACATAAAGCTTGGTAACGTCTGAATTGATCTGAACTGTCAAAGTTGCAATCTTTGTTCATATGAGTCCCATATCTCGCGCATTCGTGCCACAACGACCACTGTCCTTTAACATGGGGCCACATGCTGATTCTGTCACACAAACCACTCACGCCACCCATGCTTGTGGTAAATATAAATGCCCGCCCTGGTTTGACAACTGCTGTCGAAGATTGAATTTAAGGTTGATCTCAATTGTCACATTTTGCCTACACGATTGTACTGGAAGCTCAATTCCATGGTTCGCCAACTCGCACAATATTTCCCATACTCAACCAAGGTTCTATTTAGAATTGTTTTGATGGCCAAATGTTGTCTTTTGTTCGAAGTTTTGTTCAACTGAGATATTGTTTACAACAGCCAAACAATAAGGCTGTGACTCAAAAAATTATATTTAAATTGTTATATAATTATGCAATTTTTTCAGGTCACAGGAAGTAATAAAGGAATCGGATTTGCTATAGTGAGGGCGCTGTGCAAAGAGTTTGACGGTTATGTGTATCTCACAGCTAGAGATGAAGAAAGAGGGAAGAAAGCTGTGGAGGATTTAGAAAAAGAAGGTCTTCATCCCAAATTCCACCAGTTGGATATCACAAACCAAAAAAGTATTGATAATTTACAGAAGTATTTGAAAGATAAATATGGAGGACTGGATGTACTTGTCAACAATGCGGCTATTGCATACAAGGTATTAACTCAATGATATCAAAATAAAAGTTAACGACAAAACACATTTTGCAGAAATTGGATTTAATTAAATCAAACAATAATTGGTCTACAGCGAGCAGATAATAAATACGTCACTTATATGATGACTTTATTTACTACCTTTATTTATTCAGAAAAAAGATGCTGCTTCTTTTGCTGAGCAAGCTGAGGTTACAATAGCTTGTAACTTCACAGGAACCTTAGATGTATGTAAAGCGTTACTACCATTAATCAAGCCACATGGCAGGTGGGTAAATGGAAGTTGCTCGGCCATTTGATTGATTTCTTATATCATGGTCTTATTTATCCAATTCAGTAGCATGTAAGATCGACACACCATTTTAGGGTCAAACTTTTTTGAGATTATGATCATTAATAAAAGTCTCATGCACGATCTGAACAATTTTATATAATTTTTATGCAGTATCCTGTGTACAACGATGATAACTATCCGTTTGTGTTTGACAATTTATGACAATGATATTTCAAAATCAATCATGCCAAATCAAATGAAATTTAGCTTACATGTAAAATATTTTGGTGCAAATCAATGTAGATTAAGTATAAAAGTCCATCCTGTCAAAGAAATAGAGGAGTTGATTGTAATAGACCTTTTACGCCTTGTATAATTCTGTGTAATGTTTATTGAGCTTTATTTCTAAATGGAACATTGAAATGATTTCATCTATCTGTATACTAAATGTTGGTTTCAGCGGGTCAGATAGTGGGAATCCCCCATCGGGTCCTCAGTTCTATAAACATTTCTCCAAAGTCGAACGCTAGAAGGGTATTGTATTTCAACTACCATTCTGCTTCATTCTCCAGGGTTGTCAATCTTGCAAGTTTTGTTGGAAAGAGGTCTTTAGATGGGATGAGAGATGATCTGTCTAGTAAGTTCAAATCACCCAGTCTTACAGAAGCAGAGCTTGTGTCCCTTCTTGAAGAGTTTGTGGTGTAAGTATTCTGTTATTGCTCTCCCCATGTTAGATAAAGTAGAAATATTCATTTAAATTTAAACCATACAACCAAGAAATGATGCTAAATTCTTCGATCTGGGATAATTAAATAGTTCATCGGTATAAAAGTGTCAGAGCCATAATATGTCACCTTAATTTGACAATCTCCGATTGAGTAGCTTAGATTATCAGACAATGTATTTCATACATTTTCAGTGCTGCCAAAGCTGGCACTCACACTGAGATAGGTTATCCAAATACAGCATATGGTATGTCTAAAGTAGGTGTTATGGCATTGACTGGAGTACAAGCACGTGATTTGAAAAATGATCCTCGAGAAGACATCCTCATTATGGCTGTGAGTAATGTCACTTATGTCAATTACACCGATATTATCTACAAATAATCATTGAAAAGAGAATGTGGATGTATATGATATTGTCTTAGGGAATGTGGTAAATGCATCAATTTCAATGGCATCATAGGATGGTGGACAGCGTTGTCTAGTGCACATGATTCTTTAAGAAAGATGACTTCGTAAACATACTTCAAAATATTATACTGTATGATGTTGATTATTTTTAAGCATTACATACTCGGATATGTGATTGGATATTTGTATGTCTTTCTTTAATTTATTTGTTAATGTCTTGTAATAGGTTACGCTAGATGCTAAAATTTAATTCATTTCAAAATTACACTTTCTATAGTTGCACTGCGGTATTTGGACTAGTATATATGATTCTAACTCGCATTAATATGAACCCATTACTATATTTCAGTGTTGTCCTGGCCACGTGGACACTGATATGTCAAGCCACCAAGGGACAAAGACTCCCGACGAAGGAGCAGAGACTCCTGCCTATCTTGCTTTACTACCACCAAATTCCAATGGTTTTCAAGGAGAAATGTTTCAAGATAAAAAGTTGTATCAATGGAGATGAAAGTAATAATAATGTTGTTCCAAATGGTTGCAAAGGCTTGTGTGAAGGAGTGTCATATGTGGAATAGTATGCGTAATGATTTTAAGACAACAGTATTGACACAACAAATAATTGTATGTTGATTGGTTGAATTGTTAATATTATTAGCAACTCATTAAAGTCAAATGGAGAAACAATCCATTCTACACATGTGTTGATTACTAGACTCAGAAAAATAATTCTTAATCAAAAAGTAGATACTTCTAGCAAGGTCATCACAGTTTGGATGATTAGAAAGAGATGACGTTCAACCACACTGGCACACACTTGTTTCCTTCATCACTTTGAAATGATAACCTACACATGCAATTATTCTGCGTTTGTAAACAGGTCACACAAATCTTTTAAATTGCGATGAAGTTATTTCTTTCCGATCAAATTTAAAGTGAACTTTAAATTCAGTAACACAATTCTAATATGGGACCGGCTAAAACATATTTGTTGGGCAGTAACAAAGGTTGATCTGCAGTGTGATATATTTCTACTGTGACAGACATTTATATATTCCTATAGACTAGTAATGGAAATATGGAATGGATATATTCGGCAACTGGGTCCTCTGCTACTCAAACAATGATGTTCATTTGCCTGTGGCCCATGTTTGGTTAAATTTATTGCCATAATCACGCATCGCTAGGTAGAGGCAACCGAGCATCCCACGTGATATATTTTCAGTTATGTGTGCACTGATTGAAACCAATATTCATATAATTATTACAAGGTCACTGGGAGTAATTATAGATTTTCTATATTATTAAATATAATGTAATGTAACGATGCTAAGACTTCTTTGGTTGGTATGCACAACGATGAAACATATTTCCCAGCAATATCATATTAATATGTCCTCAATTTCATGCAAATTAAATATATGGTTTAGAATAGCAATATCTGGGGACATTTTGCGGTCTATGGAAGCGGTTATTTATTGCTGCCATGTGTATATACCGTTTCTTGCAATGATTGTTTGTACAAAATGGTGGAGCACGCAACAGTGTCGATGTATGTTATTGCTTCAGTTGAATACATGTATTTGACCTGAGATGCAACTATTACATCACGAATATGGTCGTTTGTTTCACAGTCTAATCGTCCTAATCCACATTCGTCACATTAAAATTAGTCAGCCTTATAATATTGTGCAGGACGATGTCGATTTATATGCAGATGGGCAGTGTACAGTTATCACATCTGCATGACTCACTTATCCCATAGTATATGTGGTAGTATAAATGTGTGTGCACTAGGTCTTGTCGATTTACGGTTCCAATTCCAAGTACGGTATATTTTATGGTCAACATGTAAACAACTGAATCCAAATACTCTACGATGCTCGGTGATATCGCTTAATTTGTTTGCATCTCAAGTGTCTGGACTGTAAAGCGATGTTGTGTATTTTGTTCACTAACTAGAACAAAATAATACTGTCTGCAAGTGTGACTTCCTTTGGGATGGTAACAAGATATTTTGCCTACTGCATGTCAAATACAAATATGCTAACACCTCTTAACAGCAATATATAATGTGAATAAACTGTCTTCCATACGTATACACCGTGAGTGCGTGACCATGATTGGATACAGTTTGTTTTTGGGATCTTGTTGCGCGTTGGTAACTGCTAAGTGGAGTTTAGGCGACTAGGTGCAGTCTAACCTTAAATCGAATGATTTGACTGTGGGACAAATCTTCTATTGGGCCGAATCGACTTTAGGACGAATAAACTATATAAAAGGTTAAATAAACTGTCACAATATCACCTTAAATTGGAATTCTACCCATGCGAACACTGTAAATATAAGAATGCAAATAATGTAATGTATAAGAATGTTCAAATTCACAAACAAATAATAATAAATATAAAATGAATTATCCAAATATATAAAACTTAGGTAAAAGTATTTCTCAAATGCTCAATGGAATGTCATATCGCTCGTACGGACACCCATCATGGTCGTTATCAGGATTCCCACGGCGTATATAATTCGTAAAAGCATTTAACCACGACGTGGAAGTGCTACAATCACATTTGTATTTTTATTCAATGTATTTTTATTCAAAGTATTTACGGGAAACTTATGCGGGTGTATTGAATCACTGCCCATAAAAGGCGTTTTGAGTCGTATGATGTATCAATTTGGATTACGTGATTTACCTCATGAAAATACATGTTACATAAGAGTTGTGTGTCTGAGTCTATCCGAGTCTGAGTTCACTTGTTTTGCTCTCTGGGCTTGGCCGTTTGACTAACGCCAAGAGACGACCATTATACTCTACGCTACCTACCTACCTACCAACCTATTAGTTTGGCGTGTTTTAGGTGGTTTATCTGCAGCGCCACTGTGCATCATATAGTACGTCCCTGTGTATGATACTTAGAATATTGTGAGCGAGTTACAAATCTAGCAGAGAACCCGAATTTACACTCTAGTGTAGGCTTGTGACTGGATATTATTCCCACAGGGACAGAGGCATATACTGCTATAGAAAATGTATAAATATCACAGGTGACTGTGTCGCATACGACTTGTTTACCACTATCAGGGGGAAAATTCTCTTCTCTCTGGGTTCTCCACACGTGCCAGGGGGGAATCTCGTCTCGTCTCTATATCTCGTCCCCTTGAGGTATGGGATCGGGAAAGTCACTTATACTTTACAGTCAAATAAGACACACACAACGAAATACGTTTCAGCTGTCGTCTTAGTCGGTCAATCGAGCACTCTATAAGACACAGCGCCCTGGGGAAAAATCCCCAAGACTATCGCAAGGCTGACCCAAGACTCTCTTAGACTGCGTCAACACTCGCCCAAGGCTCTCCAGGACTGCTCTTAGACTTTCGACTGCGTCTATCGTAGAGTACTTGCCAAGACCGACTCAAACTCTCTTTATTCATTTTCAAAACTTTAACCAATTACAAAGCAGTAAAAAGACTCTAGGGCGTAACCTTCAATCATAATGCCAATCACACTAAGTACTGTATACGTCATCTCTTTTGATTAATCGTTCACTACATTAATAACTATGAATATAAACTGTCAGAATGAGTAGTCTGAATAGCGGCGGTATCTGGTAATTAGTTCCAAATCACTGAGCCAAGTTCCGTCCAAAACTTCAAATAGGTCTAAACGATGACAGACATAACACAGCAATTCAGCTAATAATCAGCTAATTAAGTCGGTTAACAGATACGCAAAAACAAATTCATGACACCACTTCCGTGTGACTGAGAATGTTCTAGAACCGTACTGTGTCTGGGTGGAATTTTTAGAAACTGGTTGAATAGGTAATAGAACACTGTAGGAGGCAATAGAAGGTAATGGAACATTCTAGAATTTCTAGAAGTTCCAGACTCATTATGTATGCTGATGTAATGGTCTATATACAGTGTGAGTATATATAGGGGAGTTGTTCAGCACCGAGATCAGATCGGAGATCTCGTTGAATTGTGTTGGAGTTTAAGTATCTAGTTATTGGAGGTTTGGAGTTTTACCGAGTTATTGTACTTGATGTGTGCAGAGTATAATAATACCAGTACCAGTTGAAACCTCATCTGTTGACTCCGTGTTCGTATGTTATCATCGGCGCCAGGGAAGTCTTTATGTTACTGTTGCCATTTTGGTATTTGAACCATCACACCTGTACTATACCAATTACGGTAATATTACGTTGCGTGTGACAGACTGTAATTAATAGTAAGTTACTGAAATGTACTAGAAATTCTCTGAACCTGCACTGCAGGGACAGAGGCATATACTGCTATAGGAAATGTATAAATATCACAGTTGACTGTAATTAATAGTAAGTTACTGAAATGTACTAGAAATTCTCTGAACCTGCACTGCAGTAAATTATGCTATTAATAATCCCATACAAGAGATTCCAACAAGTTGTATGTTGCCAGAATATTCCAATCGACATTAGTTATTACACAGAGAAGATAAATTTAATCTCGACGTTCATAAGTAAATACATTGTTGGAAATAATGGAAAAATACCTACCTAACAGGTGATGGCAAAATGGTTTAACTTATTTTTTAAATATATATGGTTCATGTTCTGCCATATGTCATGTCGATACAAGATGTAACCTACATTTTAATTTTTAAAAAAACGACATTCTAGTACCTATTTTTAGTCGAACTGACAATCGTATTTTAATATGTTATAATAATTTCATAATGCCATTATACAATATGCAACTAACTTTGAAAAGGTGAATGGATATTTTTACATATTACAATAGTTATTATTTTCAATAGATATAAAGATACTACATGATTTATAACTTGGTTAAGTCAATATCCAATGTCATGGTGTCGTATAGAAATATGGCTATCATATGAATGTTTTAATATATTTCATGTAACAGTTTAGGTATATTCAGTATTCATCTCCATTTTACAATCTTCTTGTCTGACAAAATTTCCCCTTGTGGTTGACCAACATTTGGTGGTGGTAAAGCAAGATAAACAGGAGTCTCTGCTCCTTCATCGGGAGTCTTTGGACCTTTGTGACTTGACATATCAGTGTCCACATAGCCAGGACAACACTAAAATCATTAATATACAGCGTACAGTTTATAAACACAAAACAAATGAATCATGGCCAGTTTCATTTACTTACATTGAACGATTTTAAAGTATATAGTTCAAAAGATAATAATGAGAATCGTAAACATATTTAATTTTATCCATGCAAAATGTGTGACAATTTTAGTATAGTTAGTGTCACGAGTTAGAGTGCGAGGCCTAAGACCGAGTGAGTTTACCAGTTGCTGACAACTGTAAATGCGATAGTTATTGTAAACACATGAAGCTGATTTACCCTCTACCACGAAGGAAACAATAACATTGAAAGATTCAGAAATCAGTCACATTGTCTGTGTACAGCGCTGAACGTGAGTTGATTTACATAAATACAAAGGATGTATTTGATTCGTTGCCATTTGCTCATGAATAATTCAACTAACATTTGACATAGGCACGCCCTTTCAAATACCCAATTTTCAGACACCTTCATGGGAAATGCAACTTGTTCAATAATTGAAAAAGAAATCTATCTCTCGTCAACTCCAGACGCTGCACTACGTGCTCACTCTGATATAATAGTGACTTACAAACTATGGCAAAGTTACATACTAAGACA